TAGAGTTCAATGCAAACCAAATTTCAGAGTGCTATTTTCGTGCACGCGAGCTTGAAAACTAGCCCCCGAAAAATAAATAATATTTTTTTCCCTGAACCACACACATGTGCTCTCTGTTCATGCAATAGTTACCGTGTCATATCAGTGATCAGCATCACTTCACCTGGCTTCTGCACCTACCTACCACTCATACAGAAAACTCCCTTAAGAAAATCGCCAGTGTTTCCTTCATCCTTCACGCAGAATTCATTCAGAACTAACAATGAAATGCACGGCATGTGACCACGAGATGCGGACAGCATCGCCGCCCCCCACACCATCAATATGAATGATTCGGGACAGGAGGTAAAGCCCTGCACTGACAAGACCGACGAGTTCTACGTACGGGAAAGCGAAATCTTAAAGTAGGCGACTGGATGAGACTGCGACAAAACCTCGAGGTGATACCAGACTTTAGGCGACTGGTCCTTAGGTACCTTAGGTAGCCTTAATAAGCCCCCTGCTACATAAGACACTATGCAATATAAAAGGCTTGAGAGTGAGAGTAGAAGCCAGACCTCAGGCAACCACCTTCCTAGAATAAAAACCCTCTGCCGCGTTGGAGACTTGAGAGCATCATCGGATGCTCTCCCCCACCTCCCCCTCCCCCCGCGTGTACCATCGCGTACCCTCCCCCCCGTGTAACCCTGAGGCAGTCATCATCATCACCTGCAGGCTCCTCCTCCTCCTCCTCCTCCTCCATGTCACGATGAGCTTGCTCTATCGTCGCCGCAAACTCCGAGAGCAGACGCTCAGCCTTGTCCGCTGCCTCCATCCTGTCCGTACGCACCCACGTTGTCAGGTCCTCCTGCTCCTCCCCCTCCTCCTCCTCCTGCTCCTCCCCCTCCTTCTCCTCCTCCTCCTCTCTCTTCTCCTCCTCCACCGTCCACACTAACGTTGTCAGGTCCTCCTGCTCTTCCTCCTCTTCCTCCGCCACCGTCCGCACCCACTTCGTGAGGTCAACCTCCTCCTCCTCCTCCTCTGTCCGCACCCAGGTTGTCAGGTCCTCCTCTTCTTCCTCCTCTCTCTCCGCCCACAGTGTGTTCACCGCTTGCTCCCACGTGGCGCCACCTACCGACGTTTTGTGAGCCATTTTGAGTGGGACCTGTCAGGACCCGGTGTTGCTGCAAAATCCAGCCGACAATGTTCTATAGCCCTGCGGCAGTCAATGTACGCGGGCTATAGTACTAGAGCTAGTCTCAGGGGAGAGATACCGGTAGTGAATATAGAAATAAGTTGTGGATATAGAAATCAGTTAATCCTAACCCTAACCCTAATCCTAACCTTAACCCTATCCCTAATTCTAAAATAAAACAAAATTAGCCAAAAATAATAAATAATAAAATAAATAAGAGACAAAATTAGCCATTCAGAGCTGTCCCCTAGCGGATCACTATCTCTCCCCTGTGCAAAATTCCTTTATTTAAAGAACTACTTTACTCGGTGTAACAAACTTGCATTCCTGCAGGCTACCGAGTATTGTTGACTGTTGTAATGTGATGGGAGTGTAGCTGAAAGTTACTTTCTTGCTTCCTGCTACGTGTGTATCGAAGATGGGTCACTGTAGTTTTAGGCCCTATTTGTACCTATAGAAAGTAACTAGGAAATCAAACCCAATAACATGAATACATGATAGGGAATATGTTTGGCTTTAGCAGGATGCTGTTTATGACTCGCATTATTATGTATGCAGGATCTTATCAATATTTCTACGAACATATCTGTACAATGAACATGAACGGCTGCTATACCAGCTGGCTCCATAATCATGCCGTTTCACAAGTTTCTACAAATGGCAGAAATAAATGGCATAAGTAATGTGCCATCTATTCGTTTTTTATGCACATGACATAATTCTTTAGTTATAGCAAGAACAACAAACTTATCTACCAATGACAGTCATTGGTAGATAAGTTTGTTGTTCTTGCTATATAACTAAAGAGTAGTGTAAGGTCAAGTCAGTCTTACATATTACTACAATACGTTGTCGAAATCGTGCAACAAAGGCAAACAATGTATTTACTAAACTATGGATGTTATTTTATCAATAATGAACAAGTTTTTGGTCTGAAGTGGTTCCTATGTAGTGGCAACTTTCAATTCCTGAAATGGCTTTAATGCAAGAACAACTGGTGTAGTAGTCTTTTATCTTTGCTGTATATATGTGCTCATTACATTTCCTAAACCAGTGGAATAAGTTGCAGCCAACAAATTTTAAAGGCAGTAGACTGTATCAGAAAAGAAGGTTCCTTATCATTTTAACAATAGAGATTCAGGTTTCTGGGTGAGTTTTTCTTTTATCTGTGGCTGCTGTGCGAGACTAGGTGATTATGTTTTGCGACGTGATGTACGACTGAGTTTTCCCAGTGATGCAGGAAGTGACTCATACTGTCAGACGAACTTGATTTACCAGTGCAGTTGTGTGAAATAGGGCAAAATGAACGGGTGGTTAACCTAGGGGGTAACATACCTGTCAGATTATGACACTCTCTCTATAGAAGAGTATCAGTCTCAGAGCTCGAGGTATATACATGTGTCTTGAATTTGGAATCTTGATCAGTGGTAGCAATTAGTTTGAAAATTTACAGGCCAGCCGGGTCTGTAGGTAAGGGATTTTACAGGCCCGCCAGGCAAATTTTATAGGCCGGGGACGGTTTTGCATACTGGGGGTGGATTTTCTACGGGCCCGTTGGGCTTGTTAGTATTAGAAATTTCAGGCCCGAGCCTTATAATACGGGCATCGGGCCCCTTATGATTTCGACCCATGTTGATACTTGTCTCCACTGCGAGAGGCAAGCAAGCAGCCTGTATTATGGTTAAGACTGACAATATTATCTTGATGGAGGTGGTGGGGAGCTAAACATTGGGTGTTGTGTTTGCAAAATAGATTTGTACATTTTAATGGCTAGATTTTTAACCTAATATATATGTCAAGAATTATGTAGTACAGTGGTAAATGTAGTCATATGTTTCACCTAATTAAAAATGTCATTTTAAAATAATAAATCCACTGATCACTACATATTGTGTTACCAGGTTAAAGGATATGCTACTAAGCAAATTTTAGAGCTGTTAAAAAATAAGCTATATATATGTAGTGCAGCTACATGAATTTTTAGGGGGAAGAAAAGTAAAAATTAACCTCAAGATTGTGTTTCAGCTGTCCATTTTTAACAAGGGAGTTGACGGCAGCGATTCCCGTGATAGCAGCCGTGTTGTTTTTGTTCACCATGGCAACACTGTTGCGCACCAGCTTCAGTGACCCAGGAGTGATCCCTCGGGCAACACCGGACGAAGCAGCCGACATAGAGAAACAGATAGGTAGCAATAGTCCATGCTTCTGTGTGTGTTGCCGTCACACGCTAAAAACAACGGCTATTGGAAAAATAATATTTAGATTAAATTCTAGTGGAAACAATCTGTGAGCGGTTCGTTAGCCGTATATTGTAACGTGAATCGATGTGGAACTGTGAATTGTTAATACCAACAATGCCAGTGAAATATGCTAGGGTCACATTGCTCATCTCGGCTAAAAATCGGTACATGTATACAGACATTTCGAGAATTCTTTAAATCCGCAATATGCGCATCCAACCGCTAATTTCTCCAGTACTAGACTAGCAAATACTTTGTGTCATGCATAATCATACTACCTTATGACAAAATAAACTCTAGTTCCTCCCATTTCACTGCGCGTTGTCTTATAAAAGCCTTTAAAGGTATTTGAAAATACCTCCAATGTTGTTCAAATTCTACGATGTTGTTGACACGTTTGCGTTGCTCTGCCAAGCAACCGTACAGCGGGTGCAACCCGTAGCAACATGTGCCGTCACCTAACCGATTCGGGGCTAAATTGTTTGGCAAACAATTCGGCGTTGGCGCCGGATTGACAGATTTCGCACCTCTTTCTTGTGGGTTTTAAGCAAACGCGCAGTGAAATGGGAGGAACTAGAGTTTATTTTGTCATAAGGTAGTGTGATTATGCATGACACGAAGTATTTGCTAGTCTAGTACTGGAGAAATTAGCGTTTGGATGCGCATATTGCGGCTTTAATAATCGACAATTTTTTGAATTTTGTACATGAGATGATCATAGTTGTGAATGCAATCGCATATCCACACCGTTCGTTCCATAACAATATACAGTAATCAGGTTACGAGGCAGTTGCGTGTGTTTGAGAAGTAATCACGGGGTGGTCGGTGCGTGTGCTTGTGCGTCACGTCAGCTCTGCAGAAGCTGCGAACCATATAAGCGTAAAGTTCACGGTTCAAAGGGTGATTTGGCTCGTTAATTGCATGGGGACTGTGAGGGAACCTGGGGGCAGGGCTGTGCCACGCAACTATTGATCTAGTTGCCCTTCAACAAATTAAAATAAACACCCAGATACCGGTGATTCTGCTGCGATGGTGTAGTAGTTATCACAAGCCCATCCTCACAGACACTGTAATGTGAATCACACATGTAAGGCCTAAGATAAAATATTGCTTGTTTCCCCTTTACCGACCGACTCGCCAAAACGCCACTACTCGACAGAGTTTATTGGCCGATTAAAACAAAACAAAAGTTATTTCGTTTCGCAAAAAAAAAAAAATCAAATTTGTTCTGCAAAAACATATACACAAAACAGAATATACAATATACATACACACATCTTGTCAAAACAAAATAAAAAAGATTTTTCACCTACCTACACAGTCGGTACCCTGAGAGGCGAGTAGGTAAAGGGGAAACAAACAATTTTTTAAGGGTTGCCTAATGCAACGATGAATGCTCAGTGGTGCTAGGAATCGTGCATGCATCTGTCGCGGAATTCCATGTGTCATGCAATATACACGGCACATCAATAATTTGGTTAATCCTCGGGAGGGTCTGAAGAGTAGTCAGCGTTCTCTCTGAAACACGAACAGTATCCCCGAGTCGTGGGGGTGCAGCGGTTGTTGTATCGCCGTGCGTGGCGTAGGTAAACCCACAATGCTGCTGCCTGGACTGTGTAAATGCCAAAGCACGTCGTGTACCAATCAGTTATGTGTATGTGACGTGTATTAATATACTTATGAAGCCTGGTGCCGAGTGCACATAATTCTACGTCAGGTACGATAAACAGTGCTGCAACATCTACCCTGTAAAAAAAATGGCCAAAAAAACGTTGAGAGTATCGTATGCGGAACCTTTGCGCTGCTGCTGTATCGCATATTTCTTGTTAATTAGCCAGCGCTCGTTGCAGCAACAGCAACGCATCGTGTGCTCGTACGTGCACGTGTATGATGCCCATCATACTATACCAAACAATAAATTATCCGCGGTAGATAAAATTTAAGCGCGGTAAAATTATTGCCCCTTTTACTCAATAAGAGGCATTGTTGCACATAATTTAACCGCAATAAAAATAATTTATCCAGGGGCAAACCTGTCGAACGCGCTGCATGCACGTGGAGCGTTGATGTGCGTGCGTGTAGAGCAGTGGTTCTTAACCTTTTTTGAGTCATGGACCCCTTTGAGAATCTGACAAAAGCTATCAACTCCTCCCGAGAAAAACGCACATAAGCACATAAACACAGTAATTTGTATGCGCCTGGTTTGCGGACTCCCTGAAGCCCATCCATGGACCTCCAAAGGGGTTCATGGACCACAGGTTAGGAACCCCTGGTGGAGAGCATGTGATGCCTGTTCATGTGTTTTCTGTCGTTTGTTCGCAGACGTTTCTAACGCGACGTCGCCGTCGTATCGGCCGCCGCCGCGTACCAAGGAGATCGTCATCAAGGGGCAGACCGTCAAGCTGAAGTATTGCTTCACGTGTAAGATATTCCGCCCTCCGCGGGCATCACACTGCAGCTTGTGTGACAACTGCGTCGGTGAGTGTGCGTGCGGGCGACGTGAGATGGGGGGTGGAGCGGGGCGGAGCGGGGCACCGTCTGGAGTGATGAAAAGTTTGAGTCGACATTTTATGAAAAGTTATGGCCACTGTTCGCTTTATGATATCAATAATGTGCTGAGAAAATAATTAACGTGATTGGTATGGGAAAAGAGGTGTACTAAAATATTTTAACGATTTCCACCAATCACTGGTTTATGCATCTCAGGCGGTGCACACTCTCGAATGAATGAATAAATAAATAAATTTATACGCCTACTTAAATAAAATTTTAACTACCGTATATGATCGCGTAATAACCGCGGGCGCCTATAAGCCGCACCTCAATTTGAATCGGGTAACCAAGTATTGCGCCTAGTTCAGGTATAAACCGCACTTAAATCGAGGTAATCTCGCCAGAAAATTTGCGGTGCAATTGTGAACGATAATGGGTGGAAATTGACAAAATTAGCATGATCATGTGACATGTCAACACAAGCAAGATCATTTTCTATCAGTAGTTAATACTACATTATCAAAACATATAGGCAAACACGATTTATGCATTTATTTAATGAACGTTAGATTCACCCATTATCGCCCCCGCGAGTGACAAGACTCAGCAACGATCGATGAACAAATATTTCCCCTCACGGTATGGCGCACTTATAAACCACAGAGCAAATACAGTGTTGAAATCTGAGGCCAAATTTGCGGTTATCACGCGAGTATATATACGGTAATCGTGCGTGAACCCAACCAAACTCTCATTTCTAAACGTATCATTTAAATGCGCATATCAAACTTGGTTGGTCCCATTTGCATGCTGGACGCAGAGCAATGATTGTTTATGGTTAACCGCAATAAAACTCGTTTGAGCTAATGATGGTTAATCTCTTTTCAGAGCGGTTCGATCACCATTGTCCGTGGGTCGGAAACTGCGTTGGCAAGCGCAACTACAGATACTTCTATCTATTTATAGTGTCTCTAGCATTCCTCTGTGTCTTCATTTTTGCGTGTGTTATCACACATCTTATCATTAGTAAGTATTCATACTTTCTCCTGCTAATATGTGGCAGTTCATTTATAAACAAAATGTTAGAAGTTGACCCATATGTTATTATTGTTAGTGGTACTGGAAGTAAAAGCTTACCTAAGGAGCCAGTGCCCAATTTTGTAATACGTACATGTTATTATATTAGAAGCAAATATTATATGCATGTGTGTAGTAGCAGTTTTGGGTGAGAATTTGTCACATCATAGAACTAGTATATATGTTTAGTTTTTCTGCTACTATTGTTTACTATTGTACTAGTTAAAGTTGAAGCTCTATTATATAGCTAAGCTAATGTGTAGTTATCTGGCGTGACATGCTCGATGTGTAACGAATTTCTTCTCCTTTCTTTAGTAACAAAGCAGCATGATTTTTTGCAAGCACTGAAGCAGTCGCCAGCAAGATATCCTTTTCATATGCAAAAATTTATCGTTTGCCGACATCATTTGCATTTAAATGCGTACTTTTGAGGCTGATTTTGTATCTGAATATCATCTATGAATATATAAATAATCAATTAAACTGATAATATAAACCGTTGGTAATTCTCCCCTTTCAGTTAATTAATTGAGTATACAGATTCCTAGTTGATTGCATTCTTTTATATTTCGGGGGGTTTCATAATTCAGGGTTTCATTATAGGCACAGTGGCGCATCGCCGTTGTCAAATTTAACATCGCTGTTGTGAAAATATTCTTGTATTTATCCGCCGTTGTCAAAATAGTGTCAACCCAAAATTAAATAGATCACCACGTGCTTCTTGCATATTTAGATTGCCATGTTGTCTATATTATATAATTGCCTACGGCTTTATAACTGCCTTTGAATCCATCATGCGCGTTTTTTTCCCAAACTGGCCATTACCTCCTTTATCTAATTTTCCCTCAGAGGAAACGCTGTAATTGCGTTTGTTTCTTGACTCCTCTGCACTATTGTCGAAGCTATCATATGTTTCTTCTCCGTTTGGTCGGTGTTGGGCCTGGCTGGCTTCCACACATATCTTACGACATCCAACCAGACCACTAATGAAGATGTAAGTTCTATCTTAGCTATGTTCATCATCTTAGCAGTACGCTGTTTTGTTGATGCACCGAGGCTTGAAATCTGTGCAAGTTAGTAGTTCCAATGATGTGGAAGCAAAGATTGATGCGTTTAAATAGAATTAGATCATTCGTATAGTAAATTCATTTGAAATACAGCAGTACTCCACATTTCAGCATTATGTTCAAGCAACTTATTCTACATAGCAATTTTATTGGTTAATCTGTTCTCCCCTAACACAAGCACAATTATAAATGCACGCGAACACTGTCAAACACACACACACACACACACACACACACACACGCACACACACACACACACACACACACACACACACACACACACACACATGCACACATACACCACTGGGATGGAAGTGGAGTTCAGAATACTCAATAGGAAACGTATTACTAGTTTCCATGTGGCATGAGTATACTGGACACAGGGGCACCGATTTCAGTAACACACACATTCCATAGTACACCCACTACCACACTAGTAGTGTTTGCTCTCAGAGCCAGACTCTGTCTAATAGGCTTTAAGCTAGCAGCACATTTCAAGCCGGGTCCTACCGACTTGTTGGCAGCTGTACTGCACATGTAATACATTAATTTTATTGGCAGTGATTGAGCAATGCCACATTTTTTTGGGAAGAAAACACCCCCTGCTTGTTCCTTTAAAAACCTATCATGAGAGAATTTACATTTCATATCCTATAGGTTTAGTGGTACTGGTAGTAATTATTCCATACGGGCGAATTTCCATACCTTCAGTAAAGTGGTCACATTTTGCAAAGACTGTATGGGTGCAAATTTGCGAAACCCGAGTTTCCCTATTGCACATTATTACTCTGTATGTGAGTTATGCCTTTGCATGTGCTGCCTCTGGTGGCTGTGACAAAAGATATGCTTTTGGATTTAAATTTTCACGCTTTTCAGTGCGAGAGCTGATGCTGAAAGTAAAATTATTGTTATCACGAGCAATTATGTAAATTTATGCATCCATATCATGATATCAATGTATACGTAATTTTACTAGAAGTTAATAGTGAAATCGTACATATATTGCATTGCTCTAGTATTTAAATGATTGAGAAGTAAAGCACCTAGTGTAAAACGTAGAAAAATCGACATCAAAAGTAGAACATGGTTCGTCACCTTGAGAAACGGCAAAAGTAAACGGCGTCACACATTAAAATAAACACTGTTCTTTGGAAATCAAGTTGAACTTCTAATTGATATTTGAAACAACAAAAACGTGGTATTTAGGATCATTCATACTCGGTAATGTTGAAAGCTACGTTCCCATTATATTTCAATTGTACATGTATTTTAATATTCAATGTGCAAACCATATTGTGCAATGTTAGGTGACAGCCAGAAGCAGCTGTGTTGTCACGTAATAATTTCTCGTTGCAGATTAAGGGGTCATTTTCTGCGAAGAGGGGGCAAGACAATTTTAACCCCTTCAGCCAGGGTTCTTTGGGTGGAAATTGCTTAGCTGTCCTGTGTGCACCAAACCCACCCAGGTAAGTTGGCTGGTGTCAAACATTGTCTAAACATAATCTTTGGTAGGCGTTAGTGACCACTCTAACAAAATGTGGGGCAAAATAAAAGCTGTAGTTAATCATTGATGGTTGTTGGTGACCATTCTCTAGCAAAATCTGGGGCAAAACAGGGGTCGAAATTAGATTTTTATTATGGTATCCATTCGGGATACCAGGTATTGAAATCTGGTATCCCGCACAAGAATCTGGTATCCCGCGGATATCGGGATACCGCTAATTTCGACCCCTGTCAAAATAACCCACAGTTAATGGTTGGTAGTGACCATACCTAACAAAATGTGAAATGAAATCACTTGTACTTAGTGATGTCACGATCATCGATTATACTCGATCATCGGTTGAACAGTGGCTCGAACCAAGCGCATGGTTATCAAAATTTATAATCAATTTCATCGAAAAAAAAAATAAAATAATAATAATATATATATATTTTTTTTTTAAACTTGAACTAGAAAACTGTGAAAAGTGATGAGAATCAGAGATATCATCGCTACTATACAAGTTATCCTTCATTAACATACATGTATTATACACACAGTAGTAAACAGTGCAAAACAAACAGTAAACAGGGCTAAACAAGCACATACATGCACACACGTACATGCACACGACGTTACGCACACGCAGGCATTCAACACCCCGAGTAACCGATTGTAACCGATCATCGGTTACTTGGGTCCAACCGATGATCGATTACGAAATTACAACCGATTGACAACACTACTTATACTTTATATTTGGTGGTCGTTGGTGACCCCCCCCCCCCCAACAACATGTGAGGTGATACACTGTGTGCGTAATCTTCATTGGTTGTTGTTATGTATGCCATTGATGGTCGTTGGTGACCATTCTCTAACAACCTGTATTGTGAGGTAATACATTATGCATAACTTCGCTGGTTGTTATTTTATATCTTGTTTGTCTTTGGTGGTCATTGGTGACCATTCTCTAACAACTTCTATGTTAGGCTACGTGGTGCCGGACACTGTGTGTAATCATCGTTGGTTGTTGTTTTGCCGGGTCAGCCTGATAGATAGCCGGGGCTACGTGGTCCCCGACACAACACAGATCACCTGTAACAGCAGCAGCAGCTGTGCGGTGATGTCAGAGAACAACATTGTCAACGTGCGGCACGACAACTACGGTTCGACGATCAGCACGGAGAAACAGGTATTCCGATTTCCCTGTCGCTCTCTGATCTTCGCTTAAAATATAAATGTTTATTACCTTAATATATATGTATGTATATTGTCGTAGTATAGTCGCAAGAAATGGCGGCGGAAATAAAAACGAATAATCAAAATTCGAATCGTGCATATTTTGATGAAACTAGCTAAGTACGATTGCTTATAGGTATCAGTTATTATAACGAAGTGATTAGGTTGCACGAAATTCAGTTATAGTTAAAAAGAAAATAATCCAACATTTAGTTTTACACAAGTGCTTTCATCTTTATAGAATTTTCAGGTGCATTATATATATATATATACATATACATATATGTATATATTGTAGTAGTATATATATCCCGGCGTCACCGACATCTGTGTCGTCTTCTCGCTTCCGCAGCCCCTGTCGCACGGCAACGGACCCGGCAAGAAGCTGCCGTCGCCGTCCAGCATTGCGCCGGCGCCACCTATGGGCAGTAACGGCGGCTACCAGGAGAGTCCGGACGACGCCACTGCTGCTGCCGCGTCCGCCACCGCCACCGCCGCCGCCGCGTACCAGCACGCGAGCAAGCCCTACCCAGTGCAGCACATGCCTAAAATTGTGCCGGTAAACGGTGAGCCACCCTTCAGGAGTCTCAATTCTATCACCGTGTGAGAGGTGGGGAGGGGACGGTCACGGAGACATGTTGGCCACGGCCCCGGACGCATCGACCACGGGTTGGTCGTTGGCTGGGTTCAGCAGCGTCTGAGTGACGACTCGTCCGTCGATTGAAAAGTTGACGGGAAACGGTCGGACTCAACGGCACGTCAATCCGCCGGTGCACGGCCGTAATATGGGCGCCGGTAATATGGGCGCGGCGCGGGGACGGGAGGCCGGCGTGGGGCGCGGCGGCTGCTGCATGTGGGGCGTGGGCTGCTGCATTGCACCTCTGTAGAAGGTCCCCTCCCCCGCACGCCGCCCGGCTAGAGCCAGCCATGAATTGATCCTGTTTTCTGTCGCGTGTTAAGCCGCATGCCGCCTGCTTTGCTGGCGTGCATGCGCGTGCGTGCGTGCGTGGTGCGGGCGTCGCGTGCGTGCGTGCGGTGCATGGGGGCGGCGTCTGCTGCGCGTGCGTGCGTGGTGTGGGGCGGCGTCTGCTGCGCGGTGCGTGCGTGTGGCGGGCGCGTCGGCTGCGCGTGCGTGCGGTGCGTGCGGGCGGCTTGTCTGCTGCCGCGTCGCCGTGCGTGCGTTGCATGGGCGGCGCGCGTCTGCGCTGGCGCGTGCGTGCCGGGCGTGGGGAGCCGGCGTCTGCTGCGCGTTGCGTGCGTGGCGTGGGGGCGGCGGTCTGCGTGCGTCGTGCGTGCAGTGTGTGGGGGCGGCAGGTCTACTGCGCGTGCGTGCGTGCGGGGGGCGGCGTCTGGCCCTGCGCGTAGCGTGCGTGCTATGGGGGGCGGCGTCTGCTGTGCGCCAGTGCGTGCCCCCGTGCGTGCATGGGGGCGGCGTCATGCTGCGCCGTGCGTTGCGTGCGTGCATCGGGGGCGGGTCTGCTGCGCGTGCGTGCGTGCGTGCATGGGCGCGGGTCCTGCTGCGCGTGCGGTGCCGTGTGTGGAGTGGCGGCGTTTCATGCTGCGCCGTGCCGTGCTGCTGGCGTGGGGGCCGGCGTCTGCTGCCGCGTGCGTGCGCTGCTGCTGCAATGGCCGGGCGTTTGCGCTCTGACCTGCGCGTGCAGTGTCCGTGCGTGCGTGCATGCCGGCGCGTCGTGCATGGGGGCGGCGGTCTACCTCACGCGTGCGTGCGTGCGTGCCG